GCACGGTGTGTATATTAACGACGCCGTTGGTACGCGCCGTCGGCGGCGTCGTGCCGCGTCGCCGTTACCGTAAAAATACAGCGCGACGTTTCGGTAATGGCGCGTTACCGTAATACGCGCGACGGAGAACGCGCCGCGATATTATTACGACGAACGGCGCCGCCGGCGCGATCTCACTCCGGCGAGATCTTTTCGAGATCTCCCGGAAGTGCATCGCCGCGAGAGGAAGCTCTCGCGCGCGCGCGACGAGATCATCGGGAACATCGCCGGGATATTTATTATCGCCGAGATACTTTCGGAGTATATTTCGGTCTGCTGCTCGCTCGCTCGTTACACCGTCACCGCCGTATCGGCGTCTGTTATGCGAATCGCGGCCGTTCGCTCGAGAAGTCTTTATCGTCGTGAATACTTACGTCGGAGGATAGAGTGAGAGAGAGAGAGAGAGAGGGGGAACAGTGAAGTTTGATTAAAAAAGGGAAAAAGCGCAACACATGAGAAGGTTCTCATATTCGAGGTTGGAGTGATAGAAACGTTATGGTGCACGATCAAAGCTGAAATTAAATCAGATTAGATTGAATCGGGTCTGAAAGCCAATTGGCAAGTTGGAACGGTGATGTCTTCGCTGATATTTGTTTTCTACCGGGCTCTCTCGCGTTCTTCTCCTTGCTGTTTGCGAGGAGAGAGCGCGCTTTTCTCGCGCGAAAGCGACACTATCTGTGCCCTGTCGGCATGTACAGTCGGGGGTCAGTAGTCACTCGTTACGCGGACGTTTGTCATCGCTGTCTTCGGGCGATCGCGCTGTCGATATGCTTTCCGATGCATCATGTCCATCGGAGGCCGCTCGCGCACTTATTGGCGTGTCACGAGCGAGATAAAACCTTTGTCCCTCTCGCTGTGTTTTATGTGCTTTATGAAATCTCGAGTGAGCGAGCGAGCGGGCTCGTTTATCGTCGTCCTGGGTCAACGGGAGGAAGGAAGAGAGGGAGGGAGGGAGGGAGAGAGCGCTCTGGGACGAGGAATCAAACATGAATTCACGGCGTCGTAAAGGAAAGGCGACGGTAACGGTAAGAGGAAATGTTAAAGCGGCGCGATATAACGCGAACTTGCGCGCGATCAGTTTTGCAAATTTGTGAAATGAGGATCACCATGAGAGAGGGAAGGAGCGGAGCGAGAAAAAGGCGAGTCTTAGGACACGCGATCGTTTTCCTTTTTTTCTTTTCACCAACGTAAACCGGAGACGCCTTTAAGGCGAGCTCTCCCCTCCTCCCTCTTTCTCTATCTTTCTATCTCTCTCGGAACGGCCGGTTTGGAAACGCGCCGCGGGTTTTCGATCTACTCACCGCCGGGATGACGGAAACGGAGTCATTCTATAGAGCGTGCTCTAAAGGCGCCGGGAAAAATGGAGAGGACAACGACCCAGATTTCCGGGATCCTCTCGGTCGAGCCAAGCTGGGAGGCGACGAGATCGGCCCGGTCAGAAGGGTGCACTACTCGCTTCCAATGCGGGGCTTGAGCGTCCTGAGATGCTCGTCGCTTTCTCGGGGGTGAAAACGTTGTTTGCAGATGGCGAACGGGGATCGAGACCCGAGCGGGGGAGAAAGAGAGACCGACAGAGAGAGAGAGAGAGAGGGAGAGTCGCGAAAGGGACGAGGACGACGACGTAGGAAAAAAAAAAAATCAATTTGTCCGCGCGCGTAACATCCATCGAGATCGCTTAGCGAAAATTCCGCGAGGCTGCCACCTCCGGCGAGGGGGAGGGGAGGGATGGAGAATCCCGTCAGCCCCCGGTTTTCCGTTCACTCGCGCCGACGGGTTCCTTAATGGTCCAAGGGGGTCGCCCTTCCTCGCCCTCGGGCCGGCTAATGTCTTTGTCATGTTGACTGTCGACAAATCGCTCTTTGAAGCTTCAGCCCCTCGCGCATCTTCCAACCCCCCCGTGACCACCCTTTCCGCCGGGGGGGCGCACTCACGTCATTTCTCCTTCGAGTCTCGATAGAGAGCGCTGTCCGAACTCGGATTTTCCGCGAGCGCGCGGGGTTAGAAGGGGGGGGGGGGCCGACGGGAAGAAGCGCCGCGGGGGGGAGTTTGGTATCGCGCGCATCCGCTCGCGATTCTCCCCCACGGCGGAAAGCAGGAAATCAGCAGCGGGCGAATGGCTGAGAATCAGATTCTGCCGGGGGTCCTCCTTTCTTTTTGCTTCCCTCACTCTTTTTCGCCCGCTCTCTTTCTTTCCCTCCGCTTTCCGGGGCGGAGTGTTTAAAGCCCGTGAAATGGGCCGCCGTCCCTCCTCCCCCGCCCCCTCGGCCCTTCGTTCTGGTCCCGCTGGCTCGCTGTTTCCTCGCTCTCTCCCTTTCGCTTTCGGCCTCCGGCTTCGGA